TTTAAAGTATCACATCGAAAAGCACCAGGTGTCCGAACATTATGAGAAATCTCAGAAGGCACGTAGTTCTACATTTTCTATAGAAAGTTTATGGAATAAAATTAAAAAAATAGGGTTGCCAGATATATGAAAACTTATAATTATTCAAAAGCTCCACAGCATACCCCAATTCCTATAGTAAAACGAAACCCGTTTGTATAGAAAACAAATATTTCGGAGTGGGGTTGCCACCTTTCTTAAAAGTTACAATTTCGTTTATCAAAAAAATGTATGCTTATTTAATATCAAAATGTGGGTATCAAACAGAAAGTGTTAGAACAAGCGTTAACACTAACATGTTTTTGAGTAGGGTTGCCTATCTATCAACTCAGGCTATCATTTTAATTATTTAATTTGTTTTATTTAAAGAAATGAAAATACGAATTTAATTGAAAAATTTTAAGTGGTGCCTTTTGTGTTAAATTGTGTTAAAAAATTCTTTCATGTGACAAAAATTGAGAAACGGATTTCAAAAATTTTTTCAAAAAGTATTCAGAGCCTACCGCGAGGAGGTGACAGGAATAAAATACCCCACTTTATTATTTACTTTTTTTTTAATTTTTTTAATTTGCTCTATTTTTATTTTTTTATTTAATAATCTAGAACTAGTGAGAGCAGAGGGTCTGAGATCTGAATTGACTAGGATAGCCAGGTCCTTGCCAAGGCTCCTTCTTCTGAGTTGGATTTGATGAGAAAAGCTCTTGGCTTAAAATTAATTTTGATTTATTTGACTTTAAAAACGAATTACACTACGACTTTCGCTCACTATGATAATATTTTAACAAATGTTCTGGCCACTTTTGTTTAAGCGTGCATTTGTTAAGTGATTCTTTTTTTATACCAACACCAATCACCACTAGATGGGCACATTCTTCTTTAAATCTTAAACTCTATAAAGGTTAGCATTAAGTAGCGCGGAAGTATTTTCTGAAGCGAATGCGATTTTATACACTTACAAAGAATTATGCATTTATGCATTGTTTACTATTCATAAAATCACCATAATGCAAGTTCGTCACTTCAACTATTTCAATGCCAGTGCGGGCAAGTAAATCATAAAAGTAAAGTCATGACAGAAAATATGCAAATACGGCTGAATGTTATTTTAGCGCGGGGCAACAGGCGTATACGAGAGAGACACAAATACATATGTATGTATGTAAATATCTTAGTGAACAAAATAAAAGGTCAGCTCGAGGATACACTTCACTACATACTTGCGCTGTTCTTTTAAAATCTTTGCATGAAAATTGTTTTTATTTTGTTGTCGACCATACTACTACTAAAAGACAACGGAGAGACAATATAGCCTGTCAACTTTTTATTCAAAGAAAGAAAGTGAGTCACAGCCATGAAAATACAAACAAAAGAGGCAAGGCAGCAAAAGAAAATGAAGACCAAATAAAAGAAAAACGAATTAAATATAATCTATAAAAAAAGGACAAAAAACAACATAAGGCAGTAAATAAGACCAATGGCCAATTGTCATGGGAAATGAAGGGGTTTTTATTTACTTATTTTTTATTACTTTGGATGATTTGCTTGTTGGCAATCTTAGAAATCATGGAAATGAGTAAAAGTGAAAGTATTACATAAATAGGTAAATAAAAAAGTAGACAATTGAAGTTGGAAAACTGCATAAATGCAAAATATACCGAAAGTGCAAATTCACTTCCTATTGATTTCTATGATCTATATATCGATGACTGAGTGGCCGATCGACCTATCTTCGGCCGCCAGTTCGAAAACTCTCTGTCTCAGAAAACATTTCAAGAACGCTCTATATCCGAATTTGATTGAAGAACGGCCTGTTTCAGAAATTTATTGAAAAACACCCTATCTCAGAATTTGATTGGAGAATTGCAAATGTGCTGAGATAGGGCATGTTCGAACCGAATTGTGAGATAAGGCCTTTTTAAATCAAATTCTAAAATAGGACGCTATTCAAACAAATTCAGAAATAGCGCATTGTTGGAAAATTTTCTGAGGTAGGGCGTTTTCGAACGGTTTCGAAATCTTTCACTCAGCCATCGATATGTACATATATATATATGTAGATAGAAAGCTGTTATTTCGATAATTTTTAAAAGTTTTTTTTTTTTTTTTAACTGGATCTTACTAAATCTCGAAAGAAAATTTATGGGGAAAAAGAATAGTGGTTGCTTAAATGTTTATTACGTATATTTAGCTCGTAGATTGTGAATATAAAATTTTATAGTCTCTCTAAGGATTTACCAACGATTTTCTCAGAAGCTTCCAAGTATTCTGTAATTGAAAAACTTGTAATTCTGTAATGTTTTATGTTCACCTAAGATGGTAGAATATAAGTCTTCTGCATGCTGTTTTCATTTGCTTCTGTGATATATTAATATACATTGCAAGGTAATTTGGTTTCGATTGCTTTTAATGATATTATAAATATTAATTTAGAAGAACTTTATATAGTAATAACTTCGATCTTTATGCTAAAAAATCATTCTAAAAAGTCAGTTAGATGCGGTTTATACAGATTTTTCAAAGGCGTTTGACAGGGTTTCACACTCGATTTTAGTCCATAAACTTGCTGCTTTAGGTTTTCACTCCATTTTTTTAAATTGGATTAAATCTTACCTAAGTAATCGTCGCTCTGTTGTCAATGTCGCTAATACATTATCGTATCCCTTTATAGGTTCCTCCGGGGTACCCCAAGGAAGCGTTTTGGGCCCCTTATTTTTCATTTTGTTTATAAATGATATAAGTAGTTGTTTTTCCCGTTATAAATATCTCCTATATGCTAACGATTTAAAAGTTTACTCCATAATAAAGAGTCCGCTTGATTCACAGATACTTCAAGCAGAGCTCAATAATCTTAAATCATGGTGTGACACCAATCGCCTGTTGTTGAACATTAATAAATGCTATCACGTCACCTACAGTAAACGTACCACAGTCTTTCACACTTCCTATCATTTTTCCAATTATTATTTAAAGTCCGTCCCAGAAATCAAGGACTTGGGAGTACCTTTTGACAGAAAATTTACATTCAGCAATCATATTAACTTCATTGTCTCAAAGTCATATGAAATGTTGGCTTTTGTACGACGGAACACTTCCGAATTCTCTGATCCGTATACACTTAAATTGCTTTTCACTACCCTTGTTAGATCTAGGTTAGAGTACGCCTCGTTTATCTGGAGGCCATATCATGCATGTTATGTTAACCGCATTGAAAAAGTTCAAAAGGTGTTTATCAGGTTTGCTCTTCGAACCTTGCATTTTAATGAACCTATTCCTTCGTATCTTGCTAGAGGTAAGCTCATTAATTTAAAATCGCTGGAAAGTAGGAGATCGAATCTGTCGCTATTTTTTGTATTTCATATTATTTCTGGAGGGGTGGACTGTGCCTCCCTCCTTGAACGTATTCATTTTAATGCCCCACTTAGAAATTTACGTCACTTTGAGTCCTTTCATATTGGCCCGGTAAAAACTGTTTATGCATTACACGCTCCTATCACAAGAGCTTTATGCGATCTTAATCGCATCGAAAATTGTATTCATATTGATTTTACAGCCTGTAAAAGCGACTTTTTGAAATTGTTATCTTCTATTTTGGATTAATTTTGTAAATTTACTTTACTTTTCTTTCTAATAGTCTGTAAGGATATTTGATGTATTCATTGGTTAAATTAAACAAATAAACAAATAAAAATATGTACCATCATATTAATAAGCAAAATGTATAAATCGGTATACACATTGTTCACACATAGTTGAGGAGGGTCTTATCCAAAACGATATTTCCATTTTTGGTAATTCTTTAATTTTTCTTTCTTTTATATCACTCATAACTTCAGTAGCAGCTGCAGTTTAAAAACATCCTGAATATATTTAAAAACATCATCTAGCTTTGTTAAATGGATAAAACTATCATATTTCCATCGATTTCCACAAGAAATATGTACGAGCATATTCTCAACATCTGCATGAAATTTTGAATAACTATCAATTCATTTAAGAATCCGAAATGAAGGTGTCTCCTTCCCTTCGAAGGTCGCATTATATGAGCTTAAATTCATACATCAAATGGGCCTGAAAATCAGTCATATTGGACTCTTATTGGCCTCATATACAGCTCATTATAAACTCTTAAAAAAAAAATGTGGCCTCATGTATATGGAAAATATTTTAGAGTCTTTTTAAATGCATACATTTCAGCAAAATTCCACCCTGACAGATTACCAGGTGGTCACTTTGGCTACGAACACATAAAAGGCAAATGAACACAACGAGCGAGGTAAGAATGAATCGTAACTAGCCATAAAAGTTAAATAATAAGCAATTTTACGCAAGTATTTACCGAGATGCGTTCATGTAAGATTGCGGATAAAGTAATAAATTTAAACAATTTACCCCTTTGTCAATTTAGATGAACTAAAATGTCTCGTTTGAGTACCTTCGAGTACAAGTAGTAGAGACGGGTATTTCCTAGCGATACTTTGAGTAGCATCGAATTTTCTATTCGATACTTTTAATGAGTACAGGCATTGAGTACATGGTGGTATGAAAAATTATATATATATATAGATTATTATTAAAGTATTTTATCTAGTGGGTATTAGACAACGAATTTGCCTTAAATATTATTTTTAAAATTGCTTTCTTAATATTTTCTCATTCACTTTTTAGCGCTCACAAGTGCTGTATTGTATTGTGGAAATATCTTTATATATCCTCAATTATGATGGTATATGTTTTTATGATCCTTTTATGGCATAAATATTCGACTCTAATCATTAGGATTCAAAATTTTGAACGCAGAAAAAAATATTTTAGTATAAAAGTGTATCTGCTAATTAAAAAAAAGTTATAAGACATACGCTTAAAATTTCACGGACTTAATGACCTTTCCGGTAAACAATATTAAAAAGTTTTGTTTGTACATATTTAGTTATATTATTTACACAATGTTAAACTGCACTTACCTTGTCGTTTTTCAGCTTCATTTATCGGAATATTTTCTAAAACGATTGGTTCGGAACGACCTTTCTGATTAGCGCTGTATACTACCAGATGCAGGGCTGGATTGGCATCGGGATAGTAATCCATGGAAGTTAGATCTGTAAAATAAACGAGAGAATTATAATTTTTTCGAGATATTATTAAGTTGTTAGAATTAGTGTAGAATTTGCTTAGGTTTCCCTTTCGCGCTTAGAAGGGCAAAGTTAGAATTTGCTTATTATTTTTAATGTGTATTTTGTTTTTGTGTTGTTGCACATATAAGAAATCTTTGAAAATCGTGCAATCATTAAACTTGTCATGGGTCGTAAAATGACACCAACATAATATAAGGTCCAGCATACAAATCTCACTCAAAATAAATTAATTTTATAAAATACTACTAAAGTTCATGAATTCACTGAAGTGTAAGGGTTTTCCTAAATAGGTTATAATTGAGATCTTCTTGTCATTCAAATTTATTTTAGGTCATGAAAGGGTTAAGCTCCGTTTTTAATAATCGTTTATTTTCGCTATAGCTCTTATCGCAAGCTCGGGAGTTGGCTGTTATTGCAACAGTAAGGCACATTTCTTAGCTAAATACAGAAATTTCCTTCTTTATAAGCGCTATAGCAGGCCACTGCCTGATTAGGTTAAGCGCTATACATTGGGCTAGAGTTGGACGTACAGGAGCATGCCGTAGTTGCAAGATCAAAGAAGTTACTGGAGTTGAGGCATACGCAAAGATTTATATTGTAATATATAAAAAACAATGCTAAAAGCTGATTCTTTTTATAAAATCCCATTACAACGTTTTTTAGTTTTCTTTCTACTTATTTACCACTACTCAGCAGTTTTTTCTTTATGGTGATGTACTAGCTTCAGCTATAAGTTTGCCTTGCATAATAAAATGCTGTATTCATTATGATAGTCGATAGCTTAATTACCTAAGAGTTTTAATTTTTCACACTTTTTATGCCAAAAAGGCAATCACTAGAGGCTCACACGCAAATGCATACAACGAAATGTACTCAGAAAGTTCATATCAACTTTGAGCACACGAAATCATTAGCAAGCATTTTGCCGGAAGAGCATTTTCCGAAGCCAATACGCATGCTGCATGTACCTATTACTTACTACATATGTAGGTAAGTTTGTTTAAATGTACGTTTGTATTTGGGTTTACTTGCATATCATATAAACATACAGCTATTTACGCAAATGTTGTTTGTAATTTTTGGTTACTACATATTAAATAGTAGTTAGTGATATACTTATATATGTACATAAGTAAATAAAATAAAGTTTCACTTCAAGTGTAGAAGCCACAGTCGTGCAAAACAACACTATCGATAAAGAAACATCAATAGTAAGAACACTTAAATTATATACATACATATATCTACGTAGTAGCTACCCTGTAGTAAATGCCACTAATTGCGAACTATGATACTAACAATTTCCTTTTTAGCTCAACTAGTTCGTCTTCTATCTTTGTTCCGTACTACTAACTGGCATGGTGATGTCCAGCTGGAGAGCTAGCATACGAGAAAGTCTAACCCTCGGCCAGCGCAAAAATAAGTGTTTTTGAAGTGAATCTTCTTTAGCGGTGGTTGGCTGATTGCGAGTAAATTGGCAAATTTAACGGAAATTCCACACGAAAATGGTATTAATTTAAGAGAAACGTGCTAATAAACTTTTATCGATTTTCTGGACGATATTTGTATCGATGTTGTTATCGATAAAATAATCCGTGCCTGGCACTTACTTTTTTAAATGTGTACTCAACTGATTGTAATTGAATTTTTACAGTAAACTTTAAGTTTTTTAATTGCAATTTTTTTATATTCGAATTCTCCCTGAGCGCAGAAATACATTTTAGTTAATTTTTTTGATTATATTTTTTCAAACGCGACAAACTGGATATCGTTGGTCTATGTCTATTAGTACCCTTGACTCTTAGATGGTCTCTTACCTGCACCGGAATGCATCTGCAAATCGTTACACCCTAATAAACGAATGACAAAACTTTCTACCTTTATCTGATGAAGATTATTATTTTTTTTTTAATTATTGCGACATTCTTTAAGCTTGTTTTTTGAATTTAAATCGAAACTGACAGAAAAAAATAATTTTTCACTTAGTGTCGTTTACCAGTTTCGGCAGTTAACGTTAAAATTTTTCACGGAAAACCTAAAGTTAACTGCCACTTTAAAAACGGTATTAAATTTCTTTCGTGAAACTGGCAATTAAATTCATAAACTTATATTTTCGATTGAAGTACATACGTACTTCCCAGTAACTTCAAGGGGTCCTGGCTATTTAAAATAAAGTTATTCGAATTGAATAAGTCGCCGCTTCGACTCATACCAGTCAATAAACTAGTAAGTTTTTACCAGATACTCTACTAGAAAGTTTATTGTCTAGTTTGGATTTTCACTGCAGGGTACTACCGTTGCAGTACTAATATCATTGAACAGCAACAACAAATGCAAAACTAACACATCAACCACTTACAATGATTTTCAAAAGCGACTTTGATCTTTTCACTCTATTTACAATACCATCAAACATTCGACTTCGAACAGTTAACGTTAGTGAGTGGGTGCAGTGAGATGTTTACTGAGCAGTTGGCGGCGGGCGAAGAGTGCAGTTGGCAAAGTGAAGAGATGCGAAGTAAATTAGAGTAAAGTTGGCTGTGTTGTACTGACATTGGCAGCTTAGCGCGCTTGTCTAACTAATCGTGACTTTACGCTTCGTTAGATTTTGCAAATAAACCTGCAGCAATGCCTGCGGTGGGTGAACTGGCAAGCGTTGCGTTAGACAAAGAAGTCTGGCGGTTAGTTTGTAAGGGGATAAGTAAGTAGAGAAGTGTAGAGTGGAGTGTTAAGGCTTTCAGCTACATACTTTTGATGCCTATATAGAAACCACCAACAATAAGCGATATAAGGCTGCCAAAAATCGTACTAAATATTTGTACCATCGATGTTGCTACGCTAACTGATCATGTGTATGGCGGTACTTACATAGATATGCATACATATATTTAATGGGTGTGTGAGTGATTTAGTAATAAACTGTAGCCGTTGCAAATAAAAAAAAGCGCATTGCTTAAAAGTAAGTGCCTCGATAGACGAAAAGTTTGGCTCATTAACTCGCAAAGGCATAAAAAAATGAAAAAAGTCACAGTCGATTTGCGATTAACTTAGCTGTCGTTTTTCGTTTCGTTAGCATTGCGGCTGTCAAACGCAAAACTTTTGAAATTGTGCCTTTTCCCCATACTGTCCACACCCAGTCAAGTTAATAAATTAAGCAAAATCGACACCAAATAGCAACCAGGTGCGAAGTGCTGAAAAGAACGCATGGAACCGACTTGGTTATATGCTAATATACAGTTGTCGAAAATTTATAGCCGCCCTTTTATCATATTATTTTTGCTGTTATTTAATTTGGAAAGATAAAATATGTTGCGATTTTTTTCTTAGTAAACTTGTTTGCTTCTCAAAGCATCGATCCATCCCTTGCGAGGCCCAGTAATTAGCGTTTCTGCTACTGAGTTAGGTGAAAGTTCCAAAAACTGCTTTTCAGTTGCTTGTTTTATATGGAAAAGGGTTTCCCATGCAAATAGATTTAGAATTAGTATTAGAATTTAGAATTTTTGTGAAAAGAAATGAAAAATATTTGAAATTTTAGAGACCAAATAATTTGAAGAAAATCAAATCCGCTGCTCTACTCATACTACCTTTTCAATATGCCTTAGTCAAAGTGCCCCGATCTTTGTTATTTTCGCCGTAAACTCTCTGTTGGTAATAAATAAAAATTAATTTTTATGTAAAAAACAAAACCGACTTCAATTCTAATATAAAAATTTTATATTACCGTTAATTTCTACATAAATCAAATTTGTATGGGACCAACCTTTCCTTTGAAAAAAGAATTATAGAAATCGGTAAACGTGGTCCCAAGTTATGCGGTAACATGCATAAAAAAAGTATTCAGACAAATTGATAACCTCCTTGTTTTCCGAAAACGGTCAAAAATACTGAGAAATTTCTAAATAAATAAATTATTACAAAAAGACATCCGCTTATCAAATTTCTGTCTGATAACTAACTAAGGGACTAGACTGCGTTCAAACAACTCGATGTTCTGACATTTTGGTATAATTTTTTATGGGTCTATCTCTACTTTTTCTGGTACTTACAAATATCGGACCAAAGTTGTAATACCATTTCATATTCCTAAGAAGTATAAAAAGGCTCAATTTAAAACCCGCGAAAAGTTTTTGATGCCATATCCCACATCTTTGTCTACCTAGTCATCATTCAAGACACTAACCGCCGTAAAAAAAATAGATGATTAACTAACCGCAAACAGCTATTTCAAATAGGACTACCCTAACCACCCTGTTTTAGCTATCGAATCCTTTTTTAAAAGTTCCAGCAGACAAGAACTGCATCCGAATCTCTTTTTCTAATGCATCCGTTTCTATGTATTGAGCGATAAATGAATCAGACCATATGGAGAGAAGAGGGTAATACTTTTGCTAATTAATCGTTTTGTCGGCGAAGTCTTTCGCCACACAATTATCGGAGAAAAAACGCACAACTTCAGCTCATTATTTTCAATGTGGCAGCGCGATTATTATTTTTCCTGAAACCGCTGCTGCTGCTGCCACCAGGCCTGTTAATAGCTGGTATTACTTTTTGTTGTTTTATCCTTTCCACTTCATTTTGCGTTTGTTTGCTAGGTGATTTATTACCAAATGAAATAACTGCTACATTAACTAGCTAAGAGTTCGCTGCAGTTTTCGCACCAAATGTTAAATCAATTGTACATTTTAGGTAGTTGGAAAGAGGCCGCTAGTATGAAAGTGCGACAATAAATAAATGGTACTAATGAAAGTGTGTTAATAAATTTAGTCTAACTTTCAACCTTTAAGGAATTACTTAGCTTCATATAAATTGTTACAAATGTAGAACTTGGTAAAGTTATGCGGTAACATACATAAAAATAAAAAATAAAAATATTCCGACGAACTGATAAGCTCCTCCTTTTTTCGGAAGTCGGTTAAAAAGTTGGCGTAAGCCATTGCGAGCTCACTGTTACCCCCTAGCGCCTAAATGCATGCTACAGCGAAAGTGTTAACGATTGAATTTCTTTTCGTTAAAAACCGCAATAGAATTATTTTGTTAATTACCATCGATAGTTTCGATGCATCGATGATTCTCCGACATCCCTAATGTAATGATTTAGCATGAATCGGAAGTTATCACAATATTATAGTAATGCGCACGCCTTAGATTTTAGCGAGTGCAAGTTTCAAAAAGAAAGTCAGATCCGTTCACTTGCACGAATTAAAGAATTAAAAAAAGTCATATATTTTAAAGATGTTTGTTGATCTGAATCGCCTCCGAATTTTTTCCTATTTGCCTCAAACATTTTTTTATTAAGTGTTGCGAAGTATTATTTAACTTAAATTCTCTGTAATAGTTTGCAGTTTTTTGTGTGGATAGGTGCTAGCGAGCACCCGCTAATGTCAGACGCGAATGCCCATAAAGTTATTTGGGCAGCTCAAGCACAAACCATCGAATTTTTCTTAAGCAATCTTATAATATTAATGTTGGGCACTCCCCTACTTTTGTAACTACTCAATGAAGTGAGGTACTCAATATATCCTTTGCTAAAAAACCAGGGACGAATTGGTGAGCAACCGGGGAAAACTCATTAATTTGCTTTAAATTGAACATCTTGATTTGTGCGCCTAGAGCGCTCGTAAATCCCAGACGAACAAATTGGGAGGTATTTAGATGCTGCAACTCGGAGGCAAACCAATAACACAAGATCCTTTTGAAAATCCCAAGGGCGCCTAGCATGTACTTCCTACTGAAGTCTCCGGAACGCATTTTGTACACCAAAATTAGGGATATGGTTGGTCCGAAGGTCTCTACTTCTCAACATTCAGAACATACGTTGTCCGAGTACCTGTCCATTGCGACATTAAATGAAATTTCAAGGCTGATGAACTCGCGCGTCATGGAACGACTTTTCTGATACATGTATAAGTAATACTAGCGGTATCCCTCTTCAAACATGAACATTTCTTTTGAAAGAAAACTTCATCGAAATTGCCAATTAAGAAATATGGCGAATGGAACCGACCTGTCATATCGCAAAAACACTCTGGCCAGCCATAGACGTCCCAAGCTACCAAGCCTCTGGAGTTCTCACCGGACATTGTCTTATTGGATTACACGCAGCCAGATGGGGCACACCCTGGAACGACCACTGCAGAAGCGACATGGATGAAGCGGTTAGATGGTTATCCTTATACGGGTACTTACGTTATATTTGTCCGAGATCCGGGTAGTAGGCTATCATTATCCGTGTACCAGGATACAGGGTTATTTTTAGACGAGTACTCTAATCTCTCTATCCAGATACTTGAAAAGTGGATTATATTTGCCCCAAGTTTTTCATCTGAGTGCCCGTGTGGGCGGTTATCTTTATCCAGGTATCCGGGTAGGGGGTTATCATGGCACGGCTATCCGGATAGGTATTTAAATACCGGATACTTGAATAGCGTTTTCTGGGATCCGCGTAGTGGGTTATCTTTACATGGGGGTTCTTTTTACCCGAGTATCTGGGTAAGAGGTTTTATTTATTCGGGTACCCGGGTAGTAGATTAGATTTTTCCGCATACCCGGAGAGAGGGTGTATACATTTCTCCTTGAATGAGAAGAATTTTTATTTCACATTGGTAAAGGTATCTTTCCTTTATTAATGATTTCTAGATAAAAATCTCATCCTTCGATTGAATTGATATGGAACGTTCGCCCAACTCAGCAGCACAAACGCTGATTACTGGGCCTTGCAAAGGATGGCTCAATGCTTTGAGAAACAAACAAATTTACTAAGAAATAAAGTTACAACAATTTTTATTTCTTCCAATAATTTTTGTTTTTGATCTAACGTTAGATATGCCTTGGGACCACCTGAAGTGGAAATGATTATTACAACAAAATTTTGTCGAAGAAACCTTTAAATCAACGAGCGTATAAGTATTGAATTGAAAACTCAATTAATTATGTACTTACCACTCAAATCGATACGAAATATGGGTATATCCGCATATGTGCTCGTCGTATTTAATCGCAGTTTCTTCGTCTTCGAATCGTATGCCTCCAGGAAGAACTGCTGCTGCAAACCACCATCATAGCCCGGCATGCATTCCAATTCCATCGTTGAGTAAACAATGTTATCGTAATTTTCCAGGTTGATAGTACCACCTCCCCCACCCCCACCGATACCGTTGCCATTGCTAATGCCATCCAGACCAAGACCGTGCCCATTACCATTGCTGCCGACCAGACTGTGCGTAGCAATGCCATTACTAAAACTATATTCCATGCGTGAGTAATCGAAATGTGGCCCATCTGCCGCATCTGCTATATCGGCTGACGGCAAACGAAACTCACTCCGTAGGGCGCTCAGAGTGGGTGGTGATAGCTCCTCATCCACCTCAATGAAGCTATTTAGCTCCGCATCCTCGCCATCGCCGGTCTCGTCTGCATCAATATCAGCTTCAACACCAGCGCCAGCTTCAGCGGTGTTAACATCCACTTCGCCGTCCGACTCTTTATCCATGCCATCAGCGCCAACAGCCACTTCATCGGCTGGCATGTCAATCTCATCACCGTCATCTTCATAAGCAAATTTGTTACCAAAAATTTCTGCTGCTCTGTCACTTTCATCTGAGCTGGAGGCTAGATCATTAATTGCGCGTTGCATGCCAATAACATCGATGCCGCGATTACCATTTGTTGTGCGTTGCTGTCCTTGTTCATATTGTTGTTGCTTTTGATGATGAAATGCAACTGCGTGATTGCTTATTTGAAGCGCGCTAGTTGGTGCGCTGGGTGTTGCATTGTTATTGTTGACTTTGTTGAAGTTTTGGGTAAAATTGTTATCGTGATGGCTAACTTTGCTGTACTGCGAGAAATGGTGTTCGCTTTTGCCGTCAGCATTAATGCTACTACTACTACTGCTAACACGAGCAGTTGCGCCAACATTTTTGGCCGTCAAAGATTTGCGTATACGCACCTTATCAATAGAGCTTGTGGCGGACGCTGCTATATCATCAGTGGCAATGAGCGGCGGCGCTGATTCATGCTGAAGCTCTATTTGTGAGCGCTGTTGCACATTTTGTTGGTGTGTTTGATTATTCGCCTTTGAGTTGATGAAATTGCCAATTGGTGGGCCGAAAGTGCTGCTGCTGAGTGTGATTGTGTTGTTGTCGTTGGTTGCAGCTGTTTCAAACACTTTTACTGGCGCTAAATCTGCGCTTATTTCTCCTTTGTAAGTTGCATGTTGCTCATACTCATTTGCCACTATACTACCTGCTTCTCTCTTGGTAAGTCGCAATTCTTCGTGAACTTTAGCTGCTTCATCATCCACTGATACTTCGTTGGCTTCCTTTTCCGTTTCCTTTGATATAGCTGTTGCTGTTGGCATTGCCGTTGCCATTACCGTTGAATGATGGATTACTTCGCTCATCACTGGTGCCACCTCACGTTTGTGCGTATTTTTTCGCCGCCAATTGTAGTATTTCGTCGCTGGCGTTTGCTTGTTGTTACCCTTGTTGTTGGCCTGCACATTTCTGCCATTGCCGACGACAGCCGCAGCCTCATCACCAACTGTTGGCAGTGATAAATTTGATTTTTGCCTTTTGTTGCTCACATTCATCTTCATCTTCTGCGTCTGCTTTGAAGTTAGCTTTCTTGAATGCTGTAGCTGTAGCTCCTTCACTGACGCAGTCTCTTTGTGAATCTTCTTCTTTTGCTTATGCTTCGAACTGGTGTTCTTGTTGTGCTGTTTAGCTGTTGTTGCATGCTCATCAGCAGCACGTTTCACTCGATGTTTGCTGTCCACTCGCATCTTCGTGGGTAATCCATCAGTTTTGTTATTGATATACGCCATCGTTGCTAAGTTGCCTGCGGCATCTGTACCCTGCAAAGTCGCTGGCTTACGCGTTGCAGCTGCTAGCAATTTTTTGTTAATGTCAGCTCCAGCTACTGCGGACGCTTCAGCTGCGACAGCTGCTGCTGCTGCTGATGATGATGATGTTTCCTTGTTATGTTTTTGTTGCTGCTGCTGTCGTTGCAGCTGTTGTTGTTGCTGTTGTTGTCTCTTGATTGCCGCCAGTGTCTGAGATGGCGTAAATGATGTACGTTCTTTCAGGCGTTGCAGTTGTTGTCGCTGTTGTTGTTCGTTCACTTGTGGCGGCCGATGTTTTTGTTGTTGGTGATGCAATTTCTGTTGCTGCTGACCAATCAATGTATTTGCATTATTTTTTCGCTGTTGCTGTTGCTGTTGCTTATTAAGAATGCTGCTTATTTTATTATTGGTTTTGCTAGTGCTACTCGCTTTGTTGTTGCCACTGCCATCGCTATTGTGAATTTTATTGCCATTCTTATTGTTGTTGCTATTGTTATTATTACGCTCACGTACATACTCCATATGCGGAAAATTTGATTCGTGTCGGCCATATTGTGCCGGCACCATCTGATTGCCATGCATTGTTGTCTGATTCGATGAGTTTAGCGAGGCGGAGGTCACCACATATGGACGCAACGTACAGTTGCGCAACGCGCCAGGCTTAGCTGTGTGCGTGGACAATTGATAAAAGAGAGAGAAAATAACAGCGTTATAGCTCTTAGAAAATAAAGTGATTGTTGGTCGTATTTGGCAAGCCTTTGTGCAAATAAATGTATGTATGTATGTATGTAAATAAATGCAATTATTTGAGATTATCTATAAATTTATTTACTTTTCCTGCTAAAACGAAATAAATAAATAAGGTATGTAGCTTATAGTATCCCTTTAACCCTTTGTATACCGGCTGTGTCCAATGGACCCGAATACAATTTTATTATGTTACCATTATCAATATCTGATGGTTTTGAGCTCAATAATTCCCTTAATTTGCTTATTTTCATGTAGTCTATAGTATACTTTTATGATTATTTTAATCATTTTTAAATAATTGATGTTGCTATTCTAAATCTAGCGGGAACTGCCAGCCCATACATAGGGACCTAATGGACCCGAACAGTAGGTAATGCTAGTTTTTTCCATGGTAGGCAAAGGGTTAAACCATTTTCTCAATGCTCAGGATTCATGAGCCTAAAATGAGTATTTCTTTCGCCATAAATATGATTGATTCTGAGCCCAGTCAACTAGGCTGACCCATTTCGGACTCTTTTGGTGTCATAAATTCTGAATTGAAAAATAGTAAAAAAGTTACCGTATAAGTAAAAGTTTATCAGTAATCAGAATTATGAAGATTATTTGCTTTTGAAACTCAGAGAATCGTCATATTACAAACCCTAATATGGCTCATAACTTGAACTCGTATTGGCGTACCGTTCTAAAACTGGAAGTATGATCTATTCTGACTTTTTCGAGTTCATAGTCAGAGTTGCAACTCAAAGTGGGAAATTAAATCAATTTATAAATAGTAGAAGGCCGGCCACACTTCGGAGAGAAACGGGTTGTATTCTGGTTTCGGCTGAATATCAATTTCATCGTCAATTTTTCACGACAGACAATCGCTGCTCAACTGCCAACAAAGAAAGGCACTTACCCTCTCTTAGGGATATCTTCAAACACGCAGAAGAGATTTAACCGCATTCACTGAAAGACAATTGTCGTCTTTACCAACTCTCGCCGCAGACGAAGGGTTTCAGCTACCTCGACTCTCATAGCTCTGGCGCAAATATCTATGATCTTGATACTTTAATAGGCTAAAAACCATACATGACCAGGACATATCCAAAAGGCAGCTGGCGCAACGTTTGCTTTAACTAATACTCATTTTAATAAAAGAAAAATATTTTTTTTTGGCCGAATAACAGTATATGGCCACCAACATTGGCCTGGCGTTGGTCATAGGTATTACTAATTATAAAGAGTTGTGTGTGGTGAATTCATAGATTTTCCTAAGTTCCAGACTGCTGTTTAATATTCTCAGAGGCCAAAATAATTAAATTTTCTCAATTGGCAATGAAGCAAATGTATTTTTATGAGCAACTCTTGTTCGCACTGAGATTTTCAATTAAATGTACAATCATGAAATGCATTTTCCATAGATATTTTTATTCAACAATAACAAAAACAAATAGATATTTTTATTTATATTTTTTCTTATCTTACTTGCAGCATTCCTGTTTTGTTTGCTTAAAATCTATGCGTTTTTCATAAGTCACAGCATTGTCACATTCCCCCATTTCTAACAGAGTACCTACATACATATGTACATATATTTTTCCAGCTAACGTGCCGCCGCAGCTTTGAAGTTGTCAATATATTTTACATGAGGAAAATACATGCTGTTTCAAGGCAGAACTACCACTCTGAGGAATGCCATTGCCTGCCGAGGGGCGACCGCTCTTAGAAAAAAGTTTTGGTTATTTGGGCATTGCTCAGAACAAGTGTAACCCAGGGCCTACAAAGTACTCTCCTCTAACCACTCACTCACAGCGGTCGCAAAATACTTGATAGCAAAATTTTAAATTTTAAAGTTTTCTGAAAAAATATTGATTTTCGATTAAAAGATCACAATTCTATAGCAGTTCTACGAAAAATTTTATTTTCCCCATGTAAAACATATGGAAATTTTCAAATCCCGGCGGCATCGTTAAATATTAATCGTTTGAAATAAAAAAAAATATGGCTCCCTTATTTTCGATATTCCTCAGTTCTGACGGTGGCAGCAGGAAAATGCCAAACAGTAGATTTTCCTGTGCATTTCTAGATCACCCTAATGTGCATACATAAAATCAATTTACTTATTTGATTTTATTTAATTCCCCCTACATACGAGTACAATAACACAATCACTGGACAATTTTCATGAGATGTCTACGCAATTTCTGAGTATTGTGCAACTGTCCACATAAATTCTTCCTTGCAACAAGTAAGCCAATAATGCTGTATCATAAAAGCACCTACTTCCAAAATAACATGTGCTTACATATGTACATATATGCGCTGGTTCGTCATTTACCATAATAACTCAAGATACAAACTGTTGTGTGTTGACTTACCGGCTGGCACTACTTGAAACAAACACGGCTCTGATTGTTTGCCAATTGAATTTTGGCCCCAGCATGCCAGTGTGCCATAGTCTCGTTCCCCCTTTGGAGTGTATATCAATTCGCTTACGGTTTCTACTGTAAGAGAAGAGCAAACAATATACACAAATGTATTAGTTGTTTATTTGTAAACATAAGTTTATATACATATGAATATTTGGCGATATATATGTATACTACATACGACAGAATTAACATTTCTAAGTGATTGGTTTTGAAGGGATTTCCTTGTTTTTACGAAATTTTTTAAATAAATTCAATTATCATCAGTTGCGTCATCATTGAGTCATGTACGGGTATAATCAAAAGGATTATAAATTTGCCTCAGGTATGCTATATGTTTGTACATACGTGAGAGGAAAGCGGAAAACCAGCAATGTTGTTATATCAGAATAAAAGGGTACAATTCAAAATAAAACTTACAAATTTTACGCTTTCAATTGAATTCCAAACAAAATGAAACTGAATCTTGATTTAAACCAATTTTTATGATTTCAATACCTAGAGGACTGATTTGACTAACAAGTTAATACAAGTAGTAAAATAATTGGAAAAATTTCATAGGAACTTTTCCCACTGATTGTGTATAGTCGCAAATATTAAATTTATTTTGCTGTTGCAATAGAAATACTTGAATTGCTACATCAAATAAAATAACTCTCAATGTGTGCCACCACAAAATAATATTAACCAAATCGTATTTTCTCAGTAGCGGCGGGCTTCTGTGTACTTGGTACAGTAGGGACCCTCAACGAAAGTAATTTTAAGCCGTCGGGCATTACTTACAAAAAATTATTGCAATTATTTGACCACTAATTAAATGAATACAATTGTAAAAAGGTATTACATTACCTAATAGGCTTTCAGTAAGTAGCTAAAATTTTCCTTTTTTCGCGCCTTTTATAATTTTTTGAAAGTATATTCGGTACAAACACATTCCTCTAGGTACATTTAGAGCATAGCCAAACAAAATATAAAAAAAATCTTTCTTATTTTCTCTTTTAGCCTTACGAAGTTCTCCCAACTATGTAACATACATACTTATGTATGTATGTCCATAATAAATATTATAGAGCATGAACAGTTCATCATTTCATTATGTTCGTCGCCCTGAAGGCTTTGGTTTTAAAGCCCAGCGATTCTAGTGTTATCTCAGTTCGCCAATATCAACCTCAGCAACTGACTGCATATCTTCTGCAGCTGGAAACGGGCTCAAACGTCAAAATGCATATTTCGGATTATAACAGATGTGGACGTACTAATCGTCTCCTAATTTGGAATGATGACAGTCCCGAACGAGTGACTGGTCGTCTTCGTTCGTTCAAACGACCATTCGATCACCAAATGGAGTTCAAATGCCTAGAAATTTGTTTGCGCTTATGTCATATTGACATAAGAAATATCGCCCACGTTTATTTGTACTGGATCCAGTTGGTAGTGAAATGCTGGCTCCTATGCTCTCTGTTTGTTCAACGAACTGGACGGAATTGCTTAGACGATGAATTATTCCTCCCAAAATCCCAATGAAAATTTAAATTTTCTCTGTTATGTGAGAATAGGGTCCTTTGGGACCCTTGGATCCAATTGGTAAGGATAGAAAAAAAAACTACTTCAATTACAATGTGAAATTCCATTATAAACAGAATTTTATTTTTTAGCAGAAAAAATAAAGTAAAAAAAAAATAGATTGATCTGACCCAAAACAAGTGAGAAAATCGGATTCAAAATTAAAAAAGCGTAAACTTTGACCCTAAGGACTAATGTGGGTTAAAGAAATTGGGGTAGAATACAGCTTAGTGTTCTTTTTGTTCATTTAAATTTTTTCAACAAATAAAATCAACAAAATGCAAAATCTACTTGTAGCTACTGCGAAGTTGCGCTGCATAAAAAAAACCATAAATAACAAGGTTCGGAAAATTTTTTTTTAAAGAATTTCATGGAAGTAACATGCTGAATTGTTGTCGATAGCATTAATAATAATAATATATCGCCGCTTACGCAAAATGTCAGTATTTGGGCAAGCTTCTTCTCCGATTTGTGATGTGAAACCTATAGTTTTACGCGGATTATGAACGGCGATTGTATTTTTAACCGACTTCCAAAAAAGGGAGGAGGTTATCAGTTCGTCGGAATATTTTTTTTGTTTTTATGTATGTTACCGCATAACTTTGTATCACCTCAACCGATTTCGATAATTCTTTTTGCATCGCAAAGATAGTGCCTCAGAAGAGGTTTAGATCTGGTCATTGGATCATGAAAATAACGGTACTCCTAAATTTTTATATGAAAATTGAAGTTGGGTTTGTTTTTAGGTTAGAAATTACTTGTTATTAGAAGTTGTTTTTCGTGGCACAAATACACTCGGAGGTTTGCAATGCCGGCCAAGGCCCGACCACTATTAGAAAGAAATTTATTCTTTTCATTTCTAAAAATGGAGAATATTAATTTTTTTTTAAAGTTTTGCTTTAATTTCTGAAACGCAGCTGATTTTATACTTATTGTTTGTTTGGTGCGAAAAGCGTGAAGTTGGCAACAGGGAATGTAAACAAAAGTAGTTTATGACGTCAGCGATTAGGTGGATGGTGTCAAATCGACGAAGAGAGGGTTAGCGGTCCGCGAATGGCGTGACATTTATTTTCTAAATCGTGCTACCTACTCAGGTGTACGTGGCTTACGAGTAATACTATTTACTGCTTATATTTCACACAAAAAATTAGTGCGTATTTTCATTTTAGCAATCATTACATTCTTATTTATCCATCGATTTTCTTCGTTGGTAGCTTAATTTTTTTCTAAAGGAATAGGCTTTAAAATAAGTGCAAAACTTTTACACAGAAACTCGTATTTTTTAATTATTTCGCTTTTAAATTTTTTATTGTTTCCATTTTTTCATAAAAAAAACAAAAAATCTTGAATAATGAATTAGTTTCTCTGAAACTATCGGGGCTATCGAATAGTGATGTATGTATATAGGGTATATGGAGAATTTTATTTTCTTTGTATTTTGATTTTGCAGTTGGTTCGTAAGATATACATGAATAAGAGGGCCCACTCTTTTTTAAGCTTAATAATGGTTAATTGAAAATATTTCGAAAACGTATGCATAAATAAAAAATTAACTAAGTTTTTGGGATCAGCGAGCGATTCTGCATAGTGGCGTCTGGAGAACAAAAAAAATTAAAATATGTAAGCCAGTGTAGTTAGTCAGGAAATCAGCCTTAAATAGCCGGATGTGCCAGTAAATCTACAAAGAAGAACTTCTGGCATAATTTACATAGAAAAATTTTACATAAAAAAATTTTAAGGCTTAAGTTATTACGACGCGTAATACGCCTTGTGCATCCCGTAATTGTGTATGCCGGTATGTAATACCCTGCCTCATTTTCCATGTAAAAAGGTTTCACCTCAAGGGCAAGAACGCCCAGAAATAACTGAACTGATGGTTCAGGTGTAAAAGACCTGACCACGTGGAATATCGAAATCTCTCGAACTAGTTCGGTTTTGGCCCAAATCAGCCAAAACAATGTAGTGCAGTGATTTCCAAAGTGGTCCAGGTGGCCCACAGGGGTCCATGGATGGGTGGGTCTATGTTGGCGTGAAAAAAATATGGGGGCCCACGAGTTTTAAGTAGGGGTCCAAGAAAATTTATCCGGTTTCGATAGTAAATAACCAAAACAGTTGCTTGATAGCCTATATATATTTAACTTTATTTTATTTTATTTTTTTTGAGTGGTGTATTTTGATCTTGGCGCACTGCAGCACTTACCGTCACTTTGTGTCTTCATACTTGGGGAAGCCTTAAAAGTCAACTGCAGACTAAAAGGAACCTGATGTTTGGTATAACACTGAGTGGGGCGAGACGGAAATTGCTGGCGGCAGAGATTTGAGTACTTGTGTCTTTTCAATGCGACAGCATAGTGCGCCACTATTACCTTTGTTCAAGAGATTCTATATTATTGAGTACCCTGAGGCGGAAAGCGGGGTTAATTCCTGCACTGAGTTCGGACTCATATATTGTCGAATCTTCATTCCAAAACTTTCTCAGGGTCAGGATCTTGGGTTTATTTTCGGAGTTAATGGGCATAAGCGCTTCACTTTTCTCTTAGAAAATATTCTTTGATCTTCCAGGTTGAGGCATTTGCAATCCTCAAAGCCATGGATTACGTGGTGGAAAACAGGTGGAGGGGAAGGAGTTTACGTGTCTGCAGGTACAGCCAAGCTGGACTTAAGGAATTGGCATGTCCTCTATCTAAGTTCTTTCAAACTAGTTCGGCAATTCAAGTCTCGACTAAATTATGTTGAGAAACATAACGAGCTTTCTTTACTCTGGGTGCCAGGTCATTGCATACAACTTGATGGACTGAATGAACTGTTTTACAAATACGCCATATGCAAATTGATAAGTAAGTCGAACATGTGAGGAGTTTGTAGTGAAGAGAATGTAAATAACGCTAGCGCTCGGAGTGCTCTTAAAAAAATATATAACTCCTCAGAACATGAGAGTACTCTTAACGAGCTTTGTTTTTTAAAACTTGCAAGTGTGTAATCACATTATTTTAATTAATATAAGAAAATAAATATTTCAAATTTTTTTTCCACTCCGAATTTTGTTATGGAACTCATGCGCGATTTAAATTTATGTCGTTAGATCTAATCTTTACATTTTTTGGCGAGCTTTGGGAATATGTTCGAAATGTAACAGCAGGGGGTCTGAGTCAAAGTTGTGCTGGCTACAAGCAACCAAAACGTATATTGCTTTACCGATAATGTGAACACTATTTTTCTCATTGTAGAACAAAAAAAATTGTAAAACACGCGGCAAATTTCGTCAGGCGCTCAAAGTCAAGAATTTTTTTATTGTTATTATCATTCAAGCACGATAATGTGATCATGTTGACCCGAAAAAAATTGTGGAAAATGCTATGATAAAGGACCACTCAAAAAGTAGTTGTAATTTTTTTTTTAAATATGTACAAGTCAAGCTCGTTGGAAATCGGTACATATTGTGCTATTTGATCCTAGCTTAATAAATAACAAAAAAAAATCGCTTCAAGAACATTGTGAATATTAAAAAAAAAAATAAAAAATCAGACGTGGTCACTTGTCTGAGACCCTATATGTATGTATATAAAACTTAAACCTATGCGCGTATATACCTATCGTCACTTAAGGGTGAAAAGGTGTCAAGTCCATTTTTTGAAATTATTCACGAGGGACGAAAATCGATGTAGTTTCGTATTACCTGGCATTCTGCATCAAAAATTAAATTTTTAACAAAATGGAATTGCCACCTTTTCTCCTTTTAGGTACTTATGTTTGTATGACCAAATGTGATTTGGTAAACTATCGAAACCTTATGTAATAAAAAAGTTATGCACACATTTGTATGAGAAAATTGTAGTCAATTAAACAAAATGAAAAGAGCAAAGATAAAGATGTTAATAGTTAGAAAACGAGAAATCCGCCGATCAAAAAGAATCGGAAATCATGAAAATCTCTTTTGATTTTCTAAAAAAATTTCAAGTTTTAGATTCGTACGAAAACGGGATCACGGCCTAATATTAATATTTCTATAGTTTTGAATCAGAGTTTGAACTCTTCGTTGTACAGATACTACGCCCATAACTTTTTTTTTTTACCTTTACAAATTTTATTTATTAATTTCACTATTTACCTCTATAGTTTTTAAAGCTTTGCCACACAAAATTGTATTTTCTAACAAAAGGAACTGCTGTGGCATAACTCAGAAATTTTGTGCATCACTACCGGTTGGTTGGTACGAGATAGTAGTAAAACTAAACACGGCTGGTCATTGGAAAGCAGTGGTAAGCATTTTGGCATGGAATTTTCAAATTTTTACATTACCGAAAGAAAAATGTGCCTTAGATGAAGGCTTGGTGAAAATCATTGCATAAAAGGGCATTTATTTTTTAATATTACATTACCATAAGTCTCAAAGTGTGTATCGTTCGCTTCGATTATAGTACGATGTACGTCACCGGTGGTCGTGGCTTCCTGTATCGTCGCATAATGGCCTGATGGTACTTCAAAGTGTTCGCCGCTCGTTGAAAAAGTCCATTCAAAATCAATTTCCGGTGGGTCGGAATTAACACGGCAAGGTATAGGCACCGCCTCCTCTAGCGAAGCGCCAATCACAATCATTGTATTAGTACTGCAAACGGGCGCGTCTGAAAATAAACAAACAAAAAATTATAAAAGGAATTTAATCATCGAAAATTAATTAAAAATTTTTTCAACAACAAGGAAAGTAGCAACATGTGTTGCAAAGCTCAAAGGAATAATTATTAAAGTAAATAGTCGAGTAAAAAAACTGAACTGGAATATGTGTCAGTATGTGAACCAGGCCGTATGACGAAGCTTAAATACCCAAAAACTGAGTTTTTTTTGCTTTAATGTATTTATGTTTGCATATTTACATAATGAACAATTTTATCACAATAACGTTGAAAACACTTTGCTCGCGCACAAAACAAATATTTGCGCGCATAATCATCGTTATCGATACATATGTATGTATGTATGTATGTCAACGGAATATGCAGAATACAAAAGAAAAATTCTCACGCATAACATACATAAATATGTATTTATGTTGATATTTATTTGCATTTGTTGCGAGGATTATCACACGCTCTATACATCAAAATTGCGTGCGCGCCACAATGGATTTGTGTGCGTGTGTTAAATATTTGAAGTTTCTTTTCTCACTCGTGCGTAAAAAGGATCAAAACAAGAAAACAAATTTTGCAAGAAATATTTCCAACAATCAAGCGATGCACACATATTTGGGTGACTAGCTAGTTGTATGTGCAAGCATTTTCCTCAGCATGTCACAATAGTTTATGCACATATGTACATATGTACATACGTACATTTATACAATTTATTCATATCTTTAATTCATTCATTTTCATTCCAAACGATTGAGTTTGAAATTTCATTGCAATAGCTCATGCAAACACAAGGTTAAGTGTAAATATTTTATTCTTAAACAGTATCTACCAACAAAGGCATGCACTCACTAACCCATTTATGTTTACCCAGTAGCGTAGAGAATATAAGTAGTTAATCATAAGAAAATGTGCATGTATGTATGTAGGTAACTACATACATATGTATATCCATGCAGGGAAATCCCGAACAAGTGAACTAAATTTTTAGCTACGTACCCTAGTTATCTCTCCTCTTAAAAAAAAATAATATTTTGATTACTTTTAGAAAGCATGTATGTATATATTTTTTAATTTAATTTAACTTCTTAAAACGTATTTTAGGCATTTTTTATAAAAAAAAAAAATTTTAATTAAATTTTCTTTAATGGTTTGCTTGTTATGGTTTTAAAAAGAATGTTGTTTTAGTTCCATTTAATTTTGAGAAACTAACTTTTAGTTTACTCTTTTTTAAATATTTTTTTTTTAGTTTAAATTTTTAGATTTTATTTTGTAAAAAAGAAAAATATATTGTTTTTAATTCATTTACTTTTCAGAAACTTATTCTATTTTTTCTCCTTTTTTAATTTAATTTGTTATTCTTTTTTTAATTTAATTTTCTTTTAATTATTAAATTTTACTGTTTTAAGAAGAAAAATATATTTTTAATCCAATTTAATTTTTAGGTACTATTTCCTTCTTTTTTTGTCTTCTTCTAATTAAATTTTCTTTTACTGTAAATGTTTTTTTTTTTTTGAAAAGAAAATAGATATGTTTTTTTTTTAAATTCAACTTAAATTTTTAAAACCTTATTCTTAAAAAACATCTCTTCGTTAGCAGATCTTTCAATTAGTTTTTCGAAAGACAGTAAAGTGCTTTTAGGATAGTTTCCAGAATTTCCTTTTAAATGGATATTTTTTTTTGGTTTTTTTTCAAATACGATTTCATTATGAAATTTACCGATGCTTTTTCATAGTTTCGTAATACAAAAAAAAAATGTATTAACATTCTAACATCTTGGGACCTTATGGAATCTATCCAATAATAGCGAGCACCTCTGCAAACTCAGCTACAGCCAAAGGTACGTAAACGCGTTTTCAAATGCTCAATTTGAATTACATTCATTCAAACAAATTTGATTTCAAATTCAATACATATTTCTTTGAAACAAATTTTAAAATCGTTACCAAGTTACTTTTTTGCTCTGTCGATTTTAGCTAGCATGCAAAAGAGACTTAACATGCACTAGTCATGGTTCTAAATTTATTAGCACCGAAACAGTTCGGTACTAGTGCGTTTCCCTAAAGGGTGAATATGTGTGCACTTACATACAAACATACTTTATGTGCATGATTTTTCAATGACAAGACACGACAAAATCATTTACAAGTGAAGAAAACCTCATCATAAAATGCTGTTGGAAACTGATGATGTACGCACAACTAACCACTCGAAAAAAGAGTAAGACATAAGTTTAATAGCAGAGCATTTGAATGTGTATGCTATTCATCTCCAAAATTGTTGAGCTTTACGCAAATCTGGAAGTACATATGCATATGTACGTACATGCATATGCATGCACGTTTTGGGTTCCTTAGGTCGGTGTTATGCAGACAAACTTTTGTTTGCCAAATTAAATGGTGGATGCTTAGTTTGCTCGGAGGTGGTTATGTCGAGTTTGGCACAGGGTTACACGTTCATTATGGTTTTCATGGCTATTGCCCACACGAAATGAGAATTGCAGATGTACATAACGCGCACAATTAATATATTTTTTATGATATCGTATAGGCAATTAACTGTGCCCTAATCTTTGAAGCTCTTACAGCATAAATTCAGTTCTCTGGCTTTCGGTTTCACGGCATTTTTTTGTATAGCAACAATTGTCTAAAATTTTGTATATGACAACAACGAGTTTGCTGCAGTTTGACCAAACAAAATTAGTTTGCTGTGAGAGTCGCCAAACTCGCTCTCTCCGAGTTTGCTGCAACAACAATTGCACGCAGTTTGCCAAACAAAATTTCTGCATAACACCGACCTTAGACTGGCGCACAGTTGTAATGAGTAGGAACAAAATAAACGCATGTTGGAATTGTATACATAAATAAACATACATACGTGGAATTCCTGAACATCCCAGTGGGAAAAGTAGTAATGCATTACATATGCGTGATAAATAATGTAATGTATTTCTTATAAGTTCTAGATTCTAGCAGATACTGTTTGATATGTAATCAGCATTCGAATGTATCCAAAACGTCGCAAAAATTTCCTATTAAATCACATTTATCCTAAGTAAAGTGGGGTGTTCAATTTTGCATTACCAGTTTCCTACCGAGGCAAAAATAATGCATTTTCGAATATGAAAACGGCTGTTTTACAGATTATTTTTTCGATTACAATACATTATATTTTCCCACTGTGATGAGGCAGAAAAGGAGGCCAAAGTACCTCTTCAAATAATAAAAAAGTCTTCCTAAAGGTGAAAAGGTACCAAGTCCATATTTGAAATTATTCAGGAGAGACGAAAAATCTATCTAGTTTGGCATTTATCTATCTATCTATGTACTGGTAAGAAAAATTATGTAACAAACTACAGACCTATATCTAAACTTTCGACTTGCGCGAAACTCTCCGAGAAAGTGGTTCCAGAAAAACTAATTTTTTATTCAAATGATCCATAAATCCGTGCCAGCATGATTTTTTTGTGGTCGTTCAACTGCGTCGAGTCTTGCCTGTGTTTATCAGTTTTGCATTTCATCGTTAAAGAAGTGATGTGAAGTAAACATTATCTAAACCGACTTCTAAAAAGCCTTTGATGCCATCACGCACAGCATTTTATTGCTTAAGCTTGAATGTTTAGGTATACAATATACATTTCTTTGCTGGGTTAGATCATACCTATCCAATAAATTTGGTTTTGTTGAAATCGAGAGTACGAGATCACATGATTTCGGGGCCATTTCTTGGGTACACCCGGGCGACATCCTAGGCCCAATTATATTTCATCCATTAACTAATTACATTGGAGCTTGGTCTAGGCGTTCCAAGTTTTTGCTGTACGCTGATGACTAAAATCTTCAGCAGTATTACTTTTATGTCAGATGTTTTGCTATTACAAGATGAGCTTAACAAAGTACCTAATTAGAGCGAAATAACTTACCGCTTAATTACCAAAAATTGTTTTCATATAACACTTTCAAAGTGCATAAGTTGACTTATTATCTGTTTGATAAAAGACTTACTTCTCTTAGGGAATTTTCATACCTAGTAATTTTTGATTCAGTATTTAACTTCATTAATTATATTAGCTATACCATTACGAAATCCTAGTTTTACCTTGCTTTTTTGCGGCGCTATGGTAGAGATTTCAAAGATCACTACACCAGAAAAATCCTATATAACACTCTGGTTCGTTCAAAGCTGGAAAACGCCACTTTAATATAGAAACCAATTTACGCAACTCATACCAATAGACTTGAAAAATTACAGTGAAATTGTATTCGCTAAGCTCTCAAACCACTCTGACATCACTTGTGTCTAGGCAATCTATTCGATCTTTGCTTTTCATATGCGATATCATTAAATAAATTTAAATCTTCCAAATAAAACTTTACGCTCTCATTACCCTAATTAATACAATTATGAC